ATCCCAAACCTTACCTCTCAGCCACCACTTCTTGGGAATTTCCTTGAGCATGAGTGGACATGATAGGAAGGTGTAAGAAAGATCCCAAGAAAGAAGCTACGGGATCTAAGCAAAGGTGAATCCAGCCTAAGAAGGCAGAGAGGGGACGGCTGGGACAACAGCCACATGACCCACCAGGAGATCTGCCGAGCTGCAGCGAGAGCATGAAAGGGAAGCCCTAAAGGGAAGGCATGATTGACACAGAGGCAGAAAAAAATGGGGCAGGAGAGAGAGGAAGAGTACAAAGGGACAAAGATGGCTAGGAGCTCCAGAAAAAAGGGAAGAAAAGGCACAAGAAAGGAGCGTGAGCCCCGGTGCCTCCCTGGCCTTCAGTAAACAATGTCCACATTGTCCCAGGAATGGAAAACACTATTTGCTGATCTTCACATTTTAGAGTCCATCTCTAGAGAAAGCCCCAAGACAGGTTTGCCATGGTTACAGATAGAATGTAAATGTTATCAGCCTTGACATTTTAAAAGTAAACTCGTGGATGACCAAAGCCACAGGCTGGAGGGCGTAATTTTAACAGCCTCGTCTTACATAGTGTGGGGTCAAGAGATACTCTCTATATTTGGTAGAACAAGAAATAGATTACTCAGGTCATCTGCAGTTAGGAGAACTAAAAACAGCAATATCCCTCATCTGGGGAAACGTGGGGAGGGGGCTGGGCACAGCGCAAGGGAGGGAGTCCTCACCCACCCAGGCAGGACGTGGTAAACCTGGGGAAAGTGTAAGTCAGGAACCAGCAGCAGGCGCGTCTCGTGGACGTAATTACCAGAAGGAGCAGCAGGAAATCGACAGGAGTTGGGCTGGGGTGAGGTGGGGCGTGGGGACTGTGGCTTTTTATTAGTACAAGCTTTTGTGATCTACTTGATTTTTCCTGTGCAAGAGATGGTGATCACAATGAGATGAGAGCAGCAATCATCTCATTACCCTTTTTCCCGCTTTTCCTCCACAGCCTCCTGTTTGCACCCTCACCCGCTCCCTCCATCCACTCATTCATTTACCAAGTGTGTCCTGAGCCCGCACAGGGTCAGACTCAGACACACCTGAGCCCTGGGTCCGGCCCTGAAGGAGCCCCTGACTGGCAAAGGACACAGGATTATGAACACTGCAGTGGCACAAGGGGCCTCCCAACCCGGGCAGCGGCGTCTGCCCAGCTGGCCCCAGCTCTGCCCCCGCCCTGGGCCTCAGTACCGGGCTCAGCACAGAGCCCCAGCCCCAGAGAGATGGGGAAGGGGCAGTGGGAGAGGCCGGTGGGGGGTTCTCGGGCCCGACCCCCAAGTGGGTGTGAGCACAGGCAGAAACCAAAGCTTCCTATTTAAAAATAAAGAGGCTCAGGAATGACTAAAAGCAAGTGTCAATACTTTCAACAAGAATTAGTGCCAATGCGTTTTCATGGCAAACCATCACGGAGTAATTCCTCACGTATCTGACATTGTCAGGGAGCGAGGCATTTTCCATGTGGGAATTTTCCGGCTGACTGATTTTTACCATTGATTTCAGCAGTTTTGGGTCACAGTCGTTCCCAGATGAATCACACACCTCCCTGTCTGCTCAGACAGAACACCAGCTGACATCTGTGTGCCTGAAGGGACGGAGGTTCATTCGTCCAGCCCCCCATTCATAGATGGGGGTTTAACCTTTTCCTGGGAACTCCGGGTCGCACCCACCATGAGTCTTGCTCATGACGCTGGGCTGGAGCACAGTGAAGCCTCCAGGTCCCCAGATGGTGTCAGAACCACTCAGATCAGAGCCAGCCTCTGGGGCTCTCTGATTTCAGTCCTGGAGGACACAATGACCCTCAGTGTGTCCTCAGGAAAGGAGCACAGAGCTTGCTGTCCCCAGATGTCGCCAGGCTCATAGGCTGATGCCCGATGAGCAGCCCAGCTTCTCCTCTCCCCTTGGGTCCCCAGTGCTTGGGGACCACAGTGTGGACAACAGGACAACTAGAAGAGACAGGGAAGCAAGGCCCTGCAGGATGGCTGCTCAGCCCAGGAGCCCAGCCCTCAGGCACAGAGCAGGTGCCCACAGCAGAGATGAGAACTAAATCCAAACACGGAGAGGCCCAACACCCCATGACAAGGGACAAGGGGTGGGCACAGAGCATGGGGAAATAGGAGGCTGCCCATCAGAGCTCCCTGCAACAAGCCCAGGGAATGTCTAATCTGGCCCTAAGAGGAAGCTGTGATAGGGACTGTCATGGGCTGGACTGTGTCCCCCCAGTATTCACATGTTGAGGGCCTAACCCCCAGCACCGCAGAATGTGTCTATCTGGAGATAGCGTTAAAATGAGGTCATTAGGGTGGGCCCTAATCCAGTCTGACTGGTTTCCTTACGAGGACCCAGACCAGACACAGAATGAAGGGCAACCACATGAGGACACAGCAAGAAAGTGACCACGTACAAACCAAGGGCAGAGGACTCAAAAGAAGCTAGCCCTGCCCACGTCTTGATCTCGGACCTGTAGCCTTCAGAATTGTGGAAAAATGAAGTTCTGTTGTTTAATCCTCCCAGTCTGTGGCACCTTGTTACGGCTGCCCTAGCAAACTGATACACAGACTAACACCAACACATAGAAAATATATGGGTAGAGGGACGGGAGGTGACATGGAAGAAGGACCTATTCATGGGGTTTCTTAGATCTTCTTGTCCGGACTTTGAAATAACCACAAAGAGACTGTGTCTGTTTTATAATTTTTAAACCTGGCCAGATGTGGTGGTTCACGCCTGTAATCCCAGCACTTTGGGAGGCTGAGGCAGGAGGATCGCTTCCCTTCAACCAGAGAGCTCTGGATTTGCACAAACATGTAAGGGTCTGAAATCTTTGGATTCAGAGAAAAGATCCAGGATCTCTGCCACGAGCTTGTGAATTCGGCTCCTGACCACCATCCTTGCCACTAAATCACAACTCCTCAGTGGAGTGTTTCAAAATACCAATCAGCTCATGTGCCCCAGACCCTACTTAAAACCGCTCCCATGGCTCCCATTGCCCCTGGGATAAAGAGAAATCCAAGCTTGGGTCTGCACCCCGAGGCCCCGCACCGTCTGGCCCTGCCTGACCCTCTGGCAACACAGCTTGCAGCTTCCGCATCTCCCTCTCACGCAGGCACGCAAGCCGGTGACCCTGCAGAGCCTGCGACGCAGCGGGCTCGCTCCTGGCACAGGGCCTCAGTACACACTGTTCCCTCCACCTGGAGTCCTCCTGGCCTAGTTAACTCCTGTCACCCTTCAGCCTGGAGCTCCAGCGTCCCTTCCTCGGGGAAGCCTTGCCTGCCCACCCTCTGCCCACCGCAGCCTGAGTCCAGCTCCCTGTCACTGCCTTGGCTCCTCGGGGTAACTGGTTATTAACGTCTGTCCCCCTCACAGGCTGTGAGCTCCAGGAGAGCTCCACGAGGGCAGGCACACGACGACGTGTGCTCAGCCAGGGCTGGGAGGAGCCGATGGGAGGTGAGCTGCCTCAGGTGTTCCTCTCTGGGGAGGATGCAGAGACCATTGCTCAGTGCAGGATTTGTAAACTACGTAGCTAATCCCAGCAGCACATCGGTCTCATCCTTGGAGCTCTCCAGCAGCTGCTAAGCTATGGAGTCTGCGCATGACAGCCCAGAAAAGCCGCTGCTAGCTCCAAAAAGGAACGGAAGTGGTGGGAAGGAAAGGGAGAGACAGGCCCTGACATTTACTGAGCACCTATTACGTGCGCTACTACACATGCAGACTACTGGGCCATCTACTTTCACATGTGTTATTTCAGATCGTCTAGAACAACTCTTAAAAGGTAGGTAACAGCGTCCCCATTTTTATAGGTAAAGAGAGGCTCAGAGAGGTTCCGTAATTTACGTAAAGATTCAGCACTGGCAAGGCCGAGGCAGCTTTGGATCTCAGGTCTGCCCACCCCAAGGCCCGCGCCCTTCCCAGGGCTTGAATCATGTCAGAAGGCCAAAGGAGCAGGGGCCGAGGTCCCCGGGGTTATGTCACGGGCCTGTGAGTCCATATAAGCATCCGACATTGCCTGCCTCTGAACGCTATATTTTTTCCACATCCAGATATAACTGTTTCCAAATAAATATAGATCCTGTCATGACTAACACAGTATAAATTCCTCTAAATGGGTTTGCTGAATTCACGGCAGTTCTATGAGGGACAGAAAACCTGGGTGGGCACATGCCCACTAAAATGCTCGGCATCTAATGTGCTTTTCCTCCCGCAGGTTGTAACAGAGCCACAGTGACATATTGTTGAGTGGGGAGGGGGAGCTCTTTTACCATTTGTGCAAAAAAAAATTAAAGAAGCTCCATACGCAGATGCTTGTTCTTGCACAGACTCTCTCTGGAAGGAGGCGCAGCACGCATGGCTGCCTCTGGGGAGCAAAACCGTGCCAGGGGACTCTTCACCAAATAACCATCTGGACCACTTGAATTTTGCCTCATTTAAATAATCAAAAAAAAATCAAATTTTTAACGAAATTAAAATTTTAAAAGGCGATAGATAGCAAGTTCTCTCACTTTCTCTGATCACGGAGCGCAGAGCATCTCTCCTCCTCCTCCCCTCTCCTTTGCAGCGCTTGAAACCAAACCTGCTTCTGAATCTCCCTGTTTGCTGAGTACTTTAAGGCTATGGTGCAAAGTACTGAATTTCAGGTAAGACATTCCTGTGCCCGCTTCGATTTCTGCACAAGAGGAGCCCGGTGATGATAATCAAGAAGACTGGTAATTGAGCCGGGGACTTGAACACCCGAGTCACCGGCGGTGACCTTGCAAACTTGGCCTTCTGTCATAAAACAGGCATAATCGTCACTGTGCTCCAGGCCTCCAGGGCTTTCCAAATGCCAGTGGCCCCGGTAAGGAGACCTACTTTCTGCTCTATGGGGATCTACTGCGTGGTTCCTGTTTCCTCCCGCCCTGCCCGCCCCCACCCCACCCCTTCGTGCACCGTGCGCCCATCGCCCAGCGCGCCACACTCACATGGACAGCACCTTCACTTCCAGGATTTCGTGCCTCAGCTCCAGGCATCTTGTGGAGTTGTATTCAAAAGGCCCCTCGTAAAAGTCAAAGTACCTGGGAACCAACGGCGACAGAGGTTACACAGACAAGCAAGCCAGGTCTGGAGGCCTGCAGAGGCTCTTATTTGGGGGCGGGTGTCTGTTCCCATCAAATAAATAATGCAAACCAGCCCCACCCCAATAGATGACCAGTGGGGGCTCCAGAAAGACCACGGGGCCCTCTGGTTGCATGGCTGGATGGTCAGTTACTCTCAGCACCCCAGCTCTGGGAGTGCTCCTCTCTAGCGAGGGTGCAGAGACCACTGCTCAGGACAGGGGCCACGAACAATGCAGCGTGTATGGGAGCATGAGATTCAGAAGCAGATTTGGTTTCAAGTGCTGCAAAGGAGAGGGGAGGAGGAGGGATGCTCTGCGCTCTGTGATCAGAGAAAGTGAGAGACCTGAGTTGTGCGGGTGACAGCACTGGGAGTCCAGCAGTGAGCCTTCAGGCCCCCAGCCAGGCCTGCCCTTTCCTGCTTTCCCCGTCTCTTGGGAAAACATCCTGAGATTTCTGCTGTTTTTTCTACTTTACAAAGCATTTCTATTTGCATTGGTTCACTTGATCCTCGTGCTCACACTGAGACTGACCTTTCTTTCTCCCCATTTGACAGCTGAGAAAACTGAGGCTGCCCAGACAGGGCTCCAAGCCACAGTGTCAGTGCAGAGCAGGATGGGGGCTTGGTCTAGGCCCAGCTGAGGAAGAGCCCGAGCCCTCTCCAGCGCCAGCTGGCTCCAGGCATGCCACAGCCACCTCAGGGGCCCTCTGCCAGCTTCATGCAGAACACCGACACCAATTTCAGCCCATACTTACTGAGCCCTTACCACAGACCAAGTGCCAGGCCAGGCATTTGACGTGGGTGGATGCATCCACTTTTAATCTTTCTAACTAGCCTATGAGAAAAGTGACCATCACAAGCATCCTGAACAGGCTCTGGGAGTTAACTAACTTGCCCAGAGCCCCACAGCTGGAAGGTGGCAGAGCCGGGACAGGAGCCTCTGTGCTGACTGAAGGCTGCTTCTGCTGCCACCTGGCTATGAGGACAGCTGATGTCCCCTGAAAAGGGCCCTCTGGCCTCCCGGGGCAGAGGCCAGGTGAGCCCTCTCCTCATGGCCTCTCTCCTCCTGGTGGCCAGAGGCTGGGAGGGATGGAGCTGGGAGGGTTGGATCCCAGGACAGCCTCGACACCACAAATCAAGGAGCTTGCAGGGCCAGAACCCTGTAAATGTGGGGACAGTGGCCTCGCAACAGGCAGCCTGTGAGAATCAGAAGCGAGGGTACCCTAGGGCTGCTGCTGGGCTCTGCGAGCCAGGACCAGGCATCCTTCGAGTCATTCCCAGAACCCCCCCAACACCAGGCAGCAGGCATTTCACATGCACCGTACACACCAAAATCATGTGTGCAAACTTATGTACATATCGCTTTAGAAATCCTGAAACATTTTACCCAATCTATTGGCTTCTTTTTAAAATATTTGTATTTTTATTATTGCTATTATTAGTGTATTTTCATTATCACTTGATCATTAAAAATAATGTATTTTTAAATATAATTTCATATTTAATACTTTTTAAATTATATTTATATTTGTCCTCAATAATTTCAATGTAATTCAATACTTAATTTTTAAGTAGTATAATTACATATTTAAATAATTTTAAAATATTAAAACATCTTACACAACAAAGTGGCCCCTATTTACAAAAAAAATTGGTTCCTGTTCTCATGTCATGAAAGAATTTAAGCAGAGTTAACAAGAACGAGGTATGGAATATTCCCAAAATATCAAAGTCACCTTTTTCTCTCTGTTTCCCTTGCGTTTTGGGATTCTTTTCTCTGTCTTTCTCACCTGGAAAATCAAATTGATCCTTCCACCCAGCTCAAGGGCCCACGCTTCCAGAAAGCCTTCTCTGACCCCTACCCTGGGCACCCTCTGCATGCTGCGTCTTAATTAGAGTCAATGACATTGTATTATAATAGTCTGTTCATATTATCTGTGTCCCCTTCCAAACTGCAAGCATCCCAAACACAGGGACTATGTCTTTATCATCCTTATATCTTCCACACTATAGAGTCAGGAAAGCTAAAAATGACATTTCCAGACTCCTTTGCAGCTAGGGTTCTAGCTAGGTTAGAACAGTTCGGTTCAGTCAATCGAAAGCACGAGACTGTCAGAGCTGCTACAGGAGAAGAATGGCAAGGCTCAAGGCACAGTTCGCCAGTGCAGAATGTGGCAGAGGGGGCATGGCTCTCGGAAACTGCAGGAGTGGCAGCACCGTCCTGATTGTATCAGAGGCAGCAGCTTTCGCGGCGGCACCATTTCACGGCAGACTGGGGAGGCACTCCTGGAAGCCCAGCCATTGCTTCGGCTTTCCCAAAGCAGCTAGCCATTCCCTTTGTAAATCCCTTTCTGCTGTAACTAGCTAATACGGATTCTGTTATCTCCAACTACGAACAAGGGGTCAGCCTAGGGCCACGAGGTAAGTCCATGACCTTGGCTCTAACTCACGTAGTTTTCCAGTCGCACAGCTGTAAGTGAGATCCAGTGTCTTATCACAAAAATCATCGTTTGCAACCAGAGACGGTGTCACCAAGCCCTTTGGAATCCACTGGGTCAGGTGAAGCCATGACCCCAGGCCACTGCTAAGAAAAACTCCAGATTCAAGTGAGACAGATGATCATTAGAAGAGACTTATCCTAGAGTCCTCAGGGAGGTGGAGACTTGCAGATGCATCTCGGATACGGCTCTAAACCAGCTGTGTGACCTTGGGCAAATCACTTCTCTCTGGGTCTCATTTTTCTCCTCCTTAAAAGAATCCATTTGAACTAGGGCAGCATCTTCCCTTTGATCAGCCAACGCTTCCATTCCCTCCACAAAGCCGCCTCTGCCTTGCCTCGCCTCCTCCTTGGTCCCCCCTCTCCCGAGGTCCCAACATCACTCATCTACCGAGCTAGGCAGTGTAATAATTCCAATGGTCTTGTGTGCTGTGCGTGCAGTGGCTTTTGGGTAGAGAGGCTTTCAGAACTGGGTTCACATCCCTCCGCCCCTCACTAGCCATTGCTACGGTCTGAATGTTTGTGTGCCCCTAAAATTCATATGTTGAAATCCTAACCCCTAAGGCGATGGTATGGGAAGTGGGGCCTTTGGGAGGTGATGGGGACAGAGCCCTCATGAATGGGATCAGTGCCCTTATAAAAGGCCTGAGAGAGACCCCTCGCCACCTGCACTATGTAAAGATACAGCAAGAAGGTGATGTCTATAAACCAGGAAGCGGGTCCTCACCTGAAACTTAAACTGCCTTGATCTTGGACTTCTGAGCCTCCAGAACTGTGAGAAATAAATTTCTGTTTAAAAGCCACCTGGTCTATGGTATTCTGTTACAGCAGCCTGAGCAGACTAGGACAGCCACTTTAGCCCTGTCGCTTCTCTGAGCCTCAGTTTCCTTGTCTGTAAAATCAGCAAAAAAGATGCAATGCGTGTGACAGGGTTGAGAAAAGACATCGATGAGCATTTCAGGGAAAGCACAGGCACATAGGAAGTGCCCAAGAAATGCTTATTCCCTTCCGTCCCCTTTCTCCTGCCACTAAAAGGCACACGCTGCCAGCGGATGCCGCAGGGAGGCAGAGACTCGCTTACTGTCCCTCAGCTGGTTGACGGAAGGGCTGAGTCAGGGATGAACAACTCAGGAAGTGTCTCCACCATCTGCACTGGTGACATCCTCCTTCCGCTGTGATTAGTAAACCTCTCCCGTGCCACTCTGCAGATAAAGCCCACACTGAGTTCAGCTTGGACGTGGGCATGTCCTTAATCACCCCATCTCTGCTGCAGACTGTATGTATTAACCATGTGTTTCTGATGCTTTGACCCCTGGGCCCTTTCTGACCCTGGAGGTTCTGCCCCTCCCAGGGATGGCCAATTCCTGGAGATAGCCAAGGACTAGGCTGTGAGTGCACTTTTCATATGCAAACTGATGCGGGGCCATGCCCCAAACCACCTGCTCTATCAGGCTGCCACACTTTGGGCCACTGGAAGAGGCCCTGCCCTAACCACCCCAGGCCAGGTCCTAGGCAACTAGGGACAGCCCCTACTCACCAGAGCCCACTGAAATTATTCAAACTAGCCAATCCCAAGCTGCAAACCCTGCCTCACTGGCTCCTTCCCATGGAAATCCTAACAAAAGCTCTTGCACCCGTTCTCCCCGGCTCCCTCTGTCCGACCCTGCGGCTTTCCCATGTGGCCCTGCATGGTGCACCCTGCCTGCTGCTCCCAGGGATCTGTGAGTATAAAAATCTCTTCCTTTGTGACAGTCACTTCTGTATCTGCATGTCTTCTCATAACCGATCAAAGCAAATATCAGGTACCCTGAAAACACTCCATGTGGTACCTCAGCCAACTCACCAAAACTGCCCCATGCCTGTTTCTAAAGCTTGTGTTCTCATCTGGAAAATGCAGCTAATAGCCCTGTTTCCTTCTCCATCCTACCTGGGCTTTGCTTTGGGGGCTACATCGCTCTAGCTCGGTCTGTAAAGATGATTGACTAAAGGAGCCATGATCTGAATGTTTATGTCTCCCCAAAATTCATATATTGAAACTGAATCCCTAATGTGATAACATGAAGAGGTGGGGCCTTTGGGGGTGATTAAGTCATGAGAAATCTGCCCTTAAGAATGGAGATAGAAGCTGGGCATGGTGGCTCACGCCTGTAATCCTACCACTCTGGGAGGCCGAGGCAGGAGAATTGCTTGAGGCCAGGAGTTTGAGACCAGCCTGAGCAAGAGCAAGACCCCATCTCTACAAAACGTAGAAAAACGAGCCGGGCATGGTGGCATACACCTGTAGTCCCAGCTACTTGGAAGGCTTGAGGCAGCAGGATCACTTGAGCCCAGGAGTTTGAGGTTACAGTGAGCTATGATGAGGCCACTGCACTCCAGCCTGGGTGACAGAGCCAGACCCTGTCTCAAAAAAAGAATGGAGCTAGACCCTCATAAAAGAAGCTTGAAAGAGCCTTTCAACCTTCC